CGCCTGGAAAAGACTTCTAACTACCTCAAACTTATCTACTAGAAAGCATCACACTTCTGTGCCCAGAACAGCTACCATATGAGTGCCTTCTAGTTTCCTTATATTCCTTGACATCCATATCAGCCCCTATCTAAGCGAGATTAAGCGAAAATGAAGTTCAACAACTTGCAAGGTTTGTTTGGTAAAGCAGACGATAAAAGACGCATTGCATGCACATTTCATAGAAGTCCTAGTGAAGTGCTTTATACTCAAGTGTAATAAATTATCCTATTCAAGTAAACATCCTGTTTACTTCACGTGACCGATTATCTGCTAGTATTATGCAGCACATGTAGATATAACAGTATATAAAAACTACTCCACATATACACATTCTGTTTACTTGCTTCACCAAAGAGATGTGCGTGTTGAGAGGAGCACAGAGCCATCATTCTATGGCAGCATGTCGAGGTCACGACCAATGAGAAACGCACCATTCCATCGACTCGTCAGTCTTTCAAGTATGAATTTCTAAGCTAAGAGAATTAGGATGTCTTTCTCTTCTTCGAGTTTTCTGTCACATTAACTTTTACCATCGCAGAAATTGGCTGGCATATACATTCAGGTCGAGATTGACTTTCTTTTCAGAACATGGAGCGTTAGGGCCTGCAGCCTTGTCTGCACTTTTCAGAGGGAAAATATGGCAAAACGCTGGTTCGATTGAAAGCCCTTTGATATTAAGCCACGACCATCAGATAGTTTATTTGACTTGGAAGTCAGATTTCTCTATAGCCATCGGAATCTAATATGGCAGTTCCTTACCATCATACAGATTCTTCGGTCCACCAGTCCACGTCCAAGATGGGACGTTATTATCGAAGAACTTCCCATTATCTCCAGCAATTACGCTCTCAAGCTTACTCAGTAGTCCTGCAACCGATTGGTCAATAGTGAGATCAGCCGCACTAGTTCCCATATCTGTTTGAGTCCACTACTTTCCTGTTAAATAAAATGGAATATGCCGTGAGATAGAATTGCTTACTCCAGGATCAATACTAAAAAATATGAAGCCTTCCTTTTCGAGGTACAAGGAGTATTGCCTTACTAGCATGTTCATTGCAGCTTTGGAGATCTTGTACGCCGGGGTGTTTTGGAACATGAATTCCGCGGCTCTAGTTATTGAACCCATTGCTGACGACCTATAGTGATGGAATTTGTTAGAATGATATCTTTGCTAAGATAGAAACAGGGACTCGCACAAGCTCATGACGGTTTTATTTTGCCCCTTACGAAGCAGAGGCAGGAACGTCTTAGTCACCAGGTGTACCGAGTTGACGTTTACCTTCAGTGTATCTATGAGATCATCCCTGACGGCTGTTAGCTTTCCATTATAAGAAATTTCAATGAAACCTCGCGTAATGTTCATCGTACATCATTTCAATGCCGTCTGAAAAGGGCATAATCCCTGCATTATTAATGATAAAGTCCAAACCCTGTCCGTTCAATGTGCTTTCGACCTGAAGTTTCGCTTTCTGGACGCTCTGTTCACTGGTGACATCAGCGAATAATATAACGAGGCGTTGAGGATATGCCTGTGCAAGTCCTTCAAGTGCCGCAGTTATCTGTCGTGCGGTTACAAACACTACCGACACTTTGGAAGCAGGTTTGCACAGTAAACCCTGTGACATTGCTAGACCCAGGCCGCGAGATGCTCCTGTGATCAAGTATGAAGCCATGACTTCGAGATAAAGGTGAGTTGCGATGGTTTTTGCTGTATTTGTGTCTCCGAAGTGTGCCGTCTTTGCTGAAATGACGAGAGAACTCACCAACTTTATAGAAATCTTTACCTTTGAAAAATCTCAATTTTTGTTTCACATCAATCCGCGCAATTTAGATGATCATACCTCTCGGCTGATATGTCCCGACTATAGCTATTACAGAAAATACTGCCTTCTCGGACATTACGTCACGACCCAACTAGTTGTGGAGTAGAGCATGATTAAATGGCACTGATTAAAGCTGACATCTGATTATCACGGAAAGAAACAATCACCCTGTACTTCGTATAATCACCACCGCGTCGGATGTTAATCGTGTTCTAAATATAGCACCCACCGATTCTTGGTAAGCATGTCGGGAAGCACCTGCCGAAGGCTCGGCTAGCGCACTCCGAAGACTGCCAACTCTCCGATTAGCAACGTCTTAAAGAACCATTCAGATAATTAATAATGTCATATCGGTTTGTACTCTCCATCAGAACAGTTAAATCGGGATGTCATCTGCTATAGCAGACGCAAGTCGAATCTCTAATGCGTAAATTCCCTGATCAGAGTGCTAGGATTTCCTGCTTCGCGCCTGCTAACCGATCCGCAGCTGCATAGCCTGCCGGAAGAGAAAAGTGAAATGTTCTGGTATTCAGCCTTGTCAGAATTGCCAGAAACATAACCAGAATTGCGTTTTTGAAGATTCTGTTAGGCGGAAGAACTATCCGGTGGCGTGAGTAGCTGGCCCCTCTTGCGGGCTACAAGTTATGGCATCTCTAATTCTTGGACAGTTATGTCAATAGTTTGATTCAGAAAGTAGCGGAGTTACAGGAAAAGGTCAATCAGTCTGATTCTGGCGTATGTGGACCTACACCCAACTCTGAGGTCTATCATTCCGTGCTCCATCAAGATGATGGCGCGGCACTTCGTGGTAGTCTTCATCTTAGCCAAGATGGCTGTCAGAACTACAAAACTACTGAGTCTGTCGACGCTCTTCTTATTGGTTCAAGTAAGTCTATTGTATAGCTCAATGGAGATATTAAACTAATAGAACGTCTTGAGATCTTCTTGGGAGTAGCACATTTACTAGTCATCTCAATCATGTGCTACAGCAAGGGGCTGGAACTCACGGAGACGAGATTTTATTGGAAAGCGCAGCGAAGCCTTCTATTATCGGAGAACCTTTCTCCAAATTTCACCAAAAAGTTCGGCAACACCTCTCAACCGAAGAAGACTCCTTAAGTCTTCTATGCACATTCCATGCATCAATCGGCGATGCTTACCATTTCGTCGACCAACGACAGTCTGCCGATCGCCTCGCATCAATTTTTCACTCAACAAGTTCGATGAAGTTTAATGACATGTGGTATACTGAAATCTTGCTCATCTTAGCTTTAGGGCAGCTCTTTTCAAGTCGAAAGAATACGCAAACGAACCCACCTGGAAGAGTCTATCTTTTGGAAGCTAAAGATCGACTCCCTACCGTAGAACAGCTTCTTTCAGAACCAGTCCTTGGGATAGAAATTATGTGCCTCTTGGCTATGTACGACTTGTGTTGTGATAAAGAGAATGATGCTTATGTATATGTACGCCTCTTTCTCACCTGATGATCATATCCAAGGTTCTGACTCATCTGTATTGCAGACTGGTATTGCAGTACGGCTAGCAGCAGCAAGTGGAATGTGTGAAGAGAAAGAGCATGATAACATTCCTCAGTCAGAAAAAGTCCATCAGATACGGCTATGGTGGACACTTTACACTCTAGATAGGTTAGTCAAAAGTTGGCACGAAGATAAAATAGGTTTTGATCATAGATAGGAAAATTGCCTCGTCTATAGGAAAGCGTTACACGGTACTCGCTCACGAAATGCGCATCCCAATGCCTATATCGTATCCTGGCTTTCCCTCGCCCGAACCAATGATAGCAAATATTAGTCTCACGCAAGTCGTAGGAGATATCATAACTAGTATAGTACCCCCATCCGTCCTTGTCGACCTCACACAACTAATGAAATTCCTTTCAGCTCTGTACCCCCCAGGAAAAGAAACAGAAAAGACCATCATAGCCAAAGTCCAAACAATCTTGGACTCATTACACCATATCGCACAGACACTACCAGCCGAAGTCGTAATTGACTTTAATCAGCGCCATCTTCAGGTTTCGAGAACAAGCGCGTCTTTGCATCTAGACATCTTTCAGGTCAGTTGAACTACCGGATAGCCTTCTTTGCTTTGCTTTAACTTATTTGACAAACAGGCTATCATCCTCAGCATACGCCCCGTCATGTTCCATCTGCTGCGGCGCAAGACTGGCGAATCAAGAGGAGAAATACCACCGCCCGAAAAATGTCCCCTCGATCTACTCCGTCTGACGGGTATATGCCGCGACGCGGCGAGCAAGATATCAAAAATCATTCTCACCATGGAAGATAATAAAACATTACGTACGTTTATATACACCGCGTGCCGAGTTTTGTTCTTCCTAGCTAAGTACTATACTAACTAGAACAGTTTATCGCGGGGTGTGGGATCTCAACGCACTAGTAGCAGCAAGTTTTGTTTTTGTCATAGACAGCGTTATATCTCCTTCACTAAAAGCACAGCAATCCGCGCAACTCAATGAAGCGCATAGAATCATATGTGAATTTGCGCAGGCGGGGAATGGAACAGCTACGAGGCGAGCGCGGGATATCCAGCATCTGATTAGCTTGAGCGGACTTTCAGGCTCGGGGCAGTCTACTGAGAATGCGAATATTACGCCAGATAGCTGGAGGCACAGCCAAATGTCGGGTTTAAACCAAGACTCGGTTTCAGAAAGCCCATCGATAGAGAGGAGTGCAGACTCAGACCAGAGTGTACGACTACAAGCGCCCACAACAGCCGAAGCGAACTTCTTAGTCTCATCTCTAGGTACAAGTGGATTTGAATGGGATAGTGGCTCCCTTTTAGTTGGAGATGCCAGTTTCCTCGACATGTACACCGACTCCGATTTCTCACTGACGGGAGTCAATTCCACAGACTGGTTCGAGTTGGAGAGGCTGATGCTTGATTTTCAAGCTGATCCAATGCATAGCTAAATGTGAACACGAGCTACTAATACTTGATATGAATAGCAAGAGATTCAGGTCTAAAGGGCTTTCTTGTAAACTAGAAGTGACTGTAATAAACTCTGCTTTTAAATCTCATAATACTCATAGTTATATCTTCCCAAAGTAAGCTACATAGCATAGAAGTCCCGTCTACTCTCCACTTCTAAATTCAAAGCTTAATACTCATTTCTAAACCTTTGGAATAAGGGAGCGTTAGATTAGTATAGCCGTTTGCGGGCGATCTGAGATGCGCCAAGAGCTCTGCATATCTGGCGGCAGAAGAGATAGAGTTGTCAACGAGGACCACAGCGCCCGATCTCATCTTCGGCTCAAGGAGCTTCAATGCCGGCAAAGCTACTGGTGCCCATACTGTAAAAGGTTTAGCTAACGCATCTCCGGTCGCTAGAGTTACTTACTATCAATCAGGACAAGATCTAATATGGGAACATTCTCCTTCAATGTCTCCAGAAGATCACCCTCCCTCAAATCAACATGACGCGTCACTAGCTCCTCGCCTGCTTCCTTCCAGTACCGCCTCGCCTTCTCTGCCTTCGTAGCCTCCTTCTCCGTGGCAATAACCGTGCCCTCTCCTCCTCCACTCGTTTTAATGTTGCTCCCAACTGCCAAAGCTAGGTATATCGTACTAACACCGAAGCTGGTGCCGACTTCCGCGACGTTGCGTGCACCTGTAGCTCTAGCAAGCTGGTAGACAAACTGGCATTTGTCCTGGTCAAGCGCTATGAACTTGTCGCGCATCAAGTCGTCAAAACCGTCAGGGGTACCGAGGTACGTCCCCAGCGCAGCCTCTTGTGTGGTTGACTCCTTGTGAAGGCGGTCCAGTAGAGCGAGGATATGAGAGGGCGCCACAACGGGGTTGGGTGGGGATGACATGTCGCATATAAGGCTAAATCGACTAGAGGATGAAGCTTGGAATATGGTGCTATGATAAGAGTTATAGGGACAAAGTCGAGGTTGAAACGCCTATTGAGTATTAGCTTAACTGTTCAAACTTTCGTGTATGTATAAGCAATATCCCCATGAGTCATCCCGCGGAGTTCCTGTGTTTGCAGCTAAAACCCCCACATTAAGCGAATATGAGGTAAAGGGGTATGACAAATGAAATGCGAGCATATGACTTACATTCAACATTCGATGATAAATGTAAAAGGGTTGATTATTGATCTAGAAATGATATCAGCTTACAGAAAGTGGGGTACATGCTATAATTTATGTACGCTAGATAAACTAGAGGAAAAGTTTGCACCCCGTTACACATAGACCTAGTTACATAAATGGGGGCCTATTTCTTCCCGAAAGTGGGCGCTAAAGTTGGGGTACTCGGGGTTCAATTTACCCCGTGCTAACTTCCCCACTTCTATTTTAGCGTCAGGCTAGGAGACAAGTATAGATCAAGGCCTTATAAACAGGACAAACGTAAAGAGAGAAGAGATTGGGAGGAAATAATCACTCATAAACCTTTTGTTAGACATGTGCAAACTAACTCCAACAGGCTAGACTAAAATTTCACTTGACAAACTGAAACACTAAAAGGACGAAAAAAGCTGCAAGCGTTTTCCTAGGAGTGCAACTACCCTTTTGAGAGAATAGCCTCCTCACTTCAATCCTCCCCCGATAGTGGGTCTCGTCTCGCTTACCACATCTCAATAACAATCTCAGAGACCTCACCTTCCAACCACATCAACAACCACCTTGATTGCTTCACCTTCACACCGTCTTCTAACTACCTTGGTTCCTTCATCGTTCAACCACTTCCAACCATCTTCATGTCTCCAGGACGATAATTACTGTCCCACTCTATAGCCACAGCAATCAACTTAGATCTCTCATTTTCCAGGCGGCCTCCAATAATATCCTGAACGCAGTTTGCGATCAAATACCAAAAACAAAGTTCCAATCGACCCCCAGCAGCTCAAGGAAGGAACGCATCACCCTCCAATATTCACTTCATCTGGAACTACATCTTCAACCCAAACTTTTCCAATAACATCATCGTAGCAACCTGATCAACCTCCAACTATGGCCCTGTTACACTCTTCCCAGGCGTCCAACAAGCATTGTCGCAAAATTGTTGTCCTGACTGTTCCAGTATCAGCTGCACAACAGGTTCAAAGAATCTTAGCAAGAGTTCCTAGACCGTCCGAACAAACTCCAGCCATGAATCTCCCGACCGCCTTCCCAAACAACCCTCTCCTCGCCTCCTTCCTGACCAATCATACCAATGCGGTATTTGACCTCGATCGGGAAATCTCGCAAGTCCTCGACAGTAAGAATGCCAAGATCGAGGAATTGATCACCGATCTCCACGATTCTCAAAAGCACGAGCTCTTGTACAGGAAGCACATTGAAATTCTCAAATGGAACAACAAGAAGCTCACCTCTAAGCTTGTGGAGATAGTGGATTTAAAGGCGAGACTTGCAAACACGAATGCTTATCTAGAGCAACAAGAGAGCCTTTTGGAGAAACTTCACTTAGCCAACTTGGAGTTGAGTCCTACGGTTGGGATCAGCAAGAAAGCCGCGGGCTCAATCTCGTCTGACAAGGAGCTACAGCTTGAGGAGAATAATAAGGATAAAGACACCAAGCCGAAGAAACGGCTTCGTGTTTGGGGGGGCGTTAAGGTGGTCTAAGGCATTATTATTGTAGTTCCAGCATTTCTTTATGGTGGGAAGGAAAGGATGCCAAGAATCCTCGAGGAATACTTGGTCTTGGTTTCCTCTTTGCAGTTGCAGTTGCGAAACGGCGACGGGTTTGAGGTTTGGGGGTTTGGGGGTTTGGGAGTTTGGGGTTCAATGGATATTAAGTTTTCTTCTTTTCATTATATGTAAATCTTCCTCTTAAATACTACTACTTACACTAAGAACAATGCTAATAAATCCAGAAGCAGAAGTCGTACCCCCCTCTTCCACCTCTTAGCAAATAGCACTAGCTCAACCATTTTCACGTCATGGAGAGAATTTAAACCCATAGGGTTAAAAGTCATCTCTAGTCGGATTTAGAGGGAAGCGAGATAATGGATTTTGCATTAATGTTCACAGCTGCGGGAAGTCTTTGCTCTATTTCATAATTATAAAAACCCCTACGTTGCTCTAAAACTGCTTGTCTGGAAGTGACTTATGAAAATGTAGTTCCTAGTTCTCGTTACTTTTACCCCTAGGCTCTTTTTCAGCTCTTAGCTGAATTTACTATTGATATGTTAATCTAGCTAAGGTATAAGGAGTCAATAATACTTGGTAGAAATCAAAAGTGGTACTGATTTGAAATGGCGAGGACTTAGTGAATGTGTAATATGTATGCTAGAAACTTTCCGCGTGATAGAGGAGATTACCTTTCCGGAGAAGTATATCTATCTATAAAAGTTTATTCTATTCTAGTAGTATATAAGCTGATAGTAATACTAGCATTGAGTAATCCATTATATAAGAAGCTTATATACTTCTAATGCTCTAAGTGGACTGGGTAGTATTTTCCACCTTCAAGTGTTTTGGAACACTGCACTGATAACACGCCATTTTCATTCTTATTCACTTTCCGTACACCTAGATTCTCCCTCTCGGGCTAATGCTTTCTTTTCCGCAATCAACGCCAGCGACCGCCCCCACAAGCAGTCAAGCTCAATGTGAATCTATTTCTGCCAATTCGACATGCAAATTCTTTCGCCGATAATTCGGCAGTCTGATTAACCGCATCATCGCCCTTCTGATCAATCACAACAACAATCCAATTACCTGACTTCCTCACCCAATCCTCGTCAATGAAACAGATAATGTCGTTCGTTACCATGACCTACGAGCATGCGCAGGTCTCCGTCGTCCGCTACGATACGGCTGAGATACCCAAGATCTTCAGGTTCTTCGGCGCCAAGTCAAGTTCCAAGGGAGAGCCATCTGATGTCGGTACCGCAAAGGCAGAGAGAAGAACCACCAAGACCAATGAGGAAGCAGCCCCAGCACGGAAGCAATCGAACACCAAAGTCAAACGCATTAATCCCGCTCTTGGCTCTACGACTGCTCTGACTGACAGTGTCATCAGTGCAGTGGCCTTTGAGTCGACTGCCACGCTTCCAGTACCTGTTCTCAACACTGGAACACCTCTGGATGGCTCCTCAGCTGACATCCATGGCGCTGTTAATAGGCTTGTTGCCGCTCTCAATAAGCAAGTCTCCAAAAACACCCTGCGATCTATACACCACCATGTCGTCGACCTTCGCGAGGCCGAGAGAAACCAAGCACACATCGTGCAAGCGCTGGCTCACCAGATGGCGGGGCTAAGTGTCGAGCTCGAGGAATTCCGAAGTGGTAGGAAGGATCGTCGATCTACTGATGTAATCAACACCATGATTCAAGTGAAAGCAAAAGGCGGCCCACTTACATTCGACCGCTCGTTCTCTATCCGCACCATCAATCTGATCATCGAAGAACACCCCGAGCTCTCATCTGAGCTGGTCGTTCTTAGAGATGCCATACAAGAGCAGGAGATCCAGATGTCTGATTCACTGGCAAGCCTAGAGGCGGATACTCATGGAAAGGTCTTTGAGGCGTTCAAGAAGATTGCGAAGTTGGAGAAGCATCTTGAGGGCAAAAATGCTTTCATTCGCGGTTGCTATGAGAGTATGGACAAGTTCGAGATCGAGGTAAGCACCGGAGTTCTCTGAATATCTGCATATATGAGAATGCTAACTGAGATCTTCACAGTGCGATACTCGTAACGAAGAGATCACCGAACACAAGAAACGCATCAACGAACTCCAGCACGACCTTAAAAAGTCGAGTCAGGAATTTGAAGTCACCCAACGCGAGCAAGGCAGGATGATCCTCCGTCTAGAGAAAGATAAAGGCGCGCTGCTCGATCAGATCGGACTTCTGGAGAGCACTCTGGCCACCGAGCGGCTTAAAGTTATTAATGCAGATCAAGTGAAAAAGGTAGCCATCACCTACACTGACGAGATCAAGGAGTCGTATTCTTTCTATCGAAATTTCTATAAGTCGCAGAGAGCTATATACGACCAGTTCATCGCTCCTCGGAATGCACGTATGATCTCGGATGAGTAAGTCTTTGGATTCTCTCAAGTGAGGCTGCTTGGCTAACTTGGAGTGAAAAGTAGTGAGACTGGTCTTCCAAGTGAGGGGGATGATGATGGAGAGGAGGGACATAGCAGTGAGACTAGTACTAGCGGTGCAGTCAGTAAGTTCTCTCCCCTAAACCTCTTTCCTATTCCGGTAGAAATAACGTTTCAACACGCTACTACACTGTCCTCACTTTCCCCATCATCCCAAACCTACCCCTCTACTTCCATCTAGCGACTCTCCCAAAAAGCAGAAAATGAATACAGTGTCTAACAAAACTGCCCTCAGAAGAGGTCTCCAGCGCCGTCCGTGCCAAATACCGCGAACAACTCGACGACGGACTCCAGCAAGAAGGCCCCTCCCAACCCAGCTCCGACTCCTTCCCCCCTCTACGTCGCGTCCGAGGCTCTGCTTTCCTGGCAATGCTCAATACCCGCCGCACGCACTCCGAGCCTGACCCCATGCCACGAACTCCATCGAATGCCAGTCTTGGGGCCGACACGGTACATGGATCTGTGCAAGAGCTTGAGAGCTCGGGATCGTACTACGAGGAGTCTTCGGGGGAGTTTGTTCGTGGTACTGCGATTGAATGTGCGTTTTGAGTGATCTGTACACCAACTATACTATGTGTGAAGAGTTTGCGGCATGTTCGGCTGGTTAGTTTTCCGGCGGGGGTTTGCTTGGATTGCTTCTTCGAAAAGTGGTGGAGTGGAGGGGAAATGAATGGACATACAGGGCGTTCCAGCACATGCAAAAAATCGTTGGTTTGAAGATGGAAGGTTGGGAAAGGTTACTTTGTTTTGACT